ATCAGATTTGTGAGCGTCACCACCGTTGTCTGGTTGACTCGAAGAGGATTGTGCGGTGTGTGAGCTCGAAGCCAACGATGCTTAGAGAGAAGCAAGGGTATCTTCATAGCCTTTCTTTTTCCAGTACCAAACTTGAAAAGCTTTGACTACAGATCAAACTGCCGCATGGTGTTGAGCAAACTTTGACATAAATGTGCATATTCAATACATAAAGAATATGTATACATATAACAATATATATATATATATATATATATATATATATATATATATATATATATATATAATAAACAAATAAATGCATAATGACTGACAAGAATAACCGCTTTCGAACTTCAAAATTTTCTATCCTAGTGTTTTTCGACTGAATAGGAGGACGGCGGTTCTCCCCTAGCTTTTGATTCGAACACGGTTTCGGCCGAAAACACACTTCGCCCTTACCCGTGAGGGGCTTGTTGTAGCTAGGGGTCACCACCGTTCCTCTCTATTCGGCCCAAAACACTGTAGAGGAAGAGATTGGGTAAGATTGAGTTTTTATTCTAAGTATCCGAGTGGCAAATGGTCATTCGAACAAGGAAATGGTAAAATGTTGTTCGAGTTGGAAAACACTATTCGAGTCGGAAAATACCGTTCGAGTGAGTCCTTGTCACTAAGTCTCATTATCCGTTTTGCGTATTTCCTGAGTTAATAACAGGTCAGCTGTCACGCCCAGAAATTAACTAGCAATTTCCGAACTTATTTGTGCATTAAATCCTCGTCCAGGAATCAGCCGAGGTACACAAACTGACAATTAATATACAGATTCATCATAATAATAACGTAAATACTTACAAAAGAAAAGAAAAATAGCAGCGGAATTACAGTCTAGCGAAGCTCCGGCTCCACTCCCACAGGCAGCTCAACTGAGGTATAAGCCAAACGTCTTCTCCTTCGCAACTTGTCTTCAACTGAGGTTTGATTGATTATTGCAAGGTGAGCATATGACATACTCAGCAAGCCACACAGCAAATATGCAAGTGCACAAGAATACCAAAGGATGGCATAATATAGGGTTCATTTGCAAAAGCAGCATTTAGAAAATATTTAAGAATTGTAAAACAGTAGAGTAATTAATCATCAATATTAATCAACACTGAACAGCACACCCATGCTGCACAGGCCCAACCATCCTGAACAACCATACCCGGCTGCACAGATCTATCTCCAAACCAGGAATGTACCATTCCAAACCAGGAGCTAAATTAATTACCATCAATTACCACATTATTATTAATGAGTAGTGTAGGACTAATCACGAAAGACATTGTTCGACCCGCCCATAACCGCGGGCACGGCTATTCGAATAGTTTTACTCTGGCCAGAGGTGTACCACTGTACCCACAAGACACAACTCCACAATATGTCACCATATCATCATGTGCCCATGCTAAACATGTCACCATTTGTGTAGTTGTGACAAGACCCCTCGCATATGTCAACTCAAAGCAGTGCACCGTTCCTAGATCGTAGTCACCCCCTCAAAAACCAGAGGCATGGACTCCCCAGCGACCCCCGTGGGCTTATCTCTGCCACTTCTCAGTCTGGCACTCCACGATGAGCCTTGCTATGCAAAGTGTCCAGCCGTTGCCCATTCTGGCTTGTGGTTGACACGGTTAATGTTTCACAACCGAAACTCGTGAACCGGTCCTTAATTGTCATGAGCACTACCATCAAAACCATGTGCTCACAACCCACCATTATCAAGTTTTAGTTGGCACATTAATTAATTCACCAATCACGATTAACCATCGTGAGCTATCATTAAATCTCTACCATTAAGTAATAGTGAAACATTAGTTATCCCAATTATGTGCTAATGTTTCTAAGCATGGCTAAGCAATTATATCTAACATCTAGCTGAACCAATATATAAAGCTCAACTAGTCAAATTATAATAACCCAATGTATCAAGGAACAGTGTAATCAATGCAAATTGGCCATACAAAGGAATAAGTTCACACCACCCGGTGACATTCGAAAATAAATGCACAGTTGAAATAAATAAAGAATTTAAATATACGATCAACATGGTCAAAGGAATTGTGTTTGGGATCTGTGTGACTTGCCTTGCAATAACGGGTCTTCAATTAGTCTTCTTGAACACTTCCGGCGCACTCGAGAACCTTCGAAACGACGGAAACGACAAGCTAACACGCAAAACGAGGAAAAAGACTAATAAAAACCAAATAAACAATACATAAGAAGTAAACAAACATGTAGATAATAATTTTAGATGAATTAGGAGACTTGAACGGCCTCACTCTGACTTCATATGAATTAATTATGAATTTTACAAGATTTAATCTAATTAAAGCCCATTTAAAAAAATTAAATAAATTTAATTCAATTTATGGATAATTTTAATATGTAGATCTTTATTTTATACAACTTTTGCAACTTGAACCACATTAAACTGAGTTACAATGAATTAGTTATGAATTTTTAAAGATTAAACCGGATTAAAGCATTTATATAGATTTTAATTGAATTATGACGCAATAATGAATTATTTTTGAAAAGCAAAAGGGATTTATTGCGTCATCAAAGATGGTCCACGGTAGACCGGGTGCATAGAGGCGGTCTACGAAACCAACGGCCGAGATCTAATCTAAACAAAATGGACGGCCAAGATCGATCTAATCCACCACGGGTCTACGGCTGACGTCGACGATGACGTCATCGCCGGTGGCGGCTCGGCACCTCGTGCTCGCCGGCAATCGATGGCGCGGCGACGCAAACGGAGGGCACCAACGGGTAGAGGGCGACGCGGCGAACTCACCGAGCTCTTGGATGACGGCAAACGACGACGGATGACGACGGCGGCGAGGTCGAAGCGGCGGCGATGATTGGGTCAACGACGACGGTGGTGTTCCAGCGATCTTCGGCGGAAACGGAGGGGTGGACGAGGTGCTGCTCCTCCTCGCGATCCCGACGGTGGCGACGACGACCGAAGGTGGTGGCTGGACCAACGGCGCGGCGTGGCTGGACCAACGGCAGCGGTGGAGAGCTTCGGGGCGACGGAGTCGGCGGCGCTCCGATGATCTGCGGCGGAAACGGAGGACGGGACAAGGACGGCGGCGACCTTGCGAACCTGGCGACGGCCTTCCCGAGTGACGGCGGCGACTAGAGCAGCGGCGCGGCACGGCCGGACTCACGGCGACGACGGCGACACACGAGCTAACGCGGAGGCGGCGCTACAAGCGTTGGCGGGCTAAGGCGAAGGTGACGGTGGATTGAGGAGGTCTCAGGGATCCTTTTATAGGGGCTAGGAGGCGGCGACGGAGGCCCACGGCGACCGGCAGCGAGATGGAAGGTTTTAGGGTTTGGAAAGAGATGCTAACCAAATCGGCATTGAATCCGACGATTTCCAAACGAATTAGCTCGGTTTCCTAAAGAGAAAAGGAAGAGGAGATCGAGGAGATTATTTCCCCTCAATTGATTTGGCCGGAGAAGGAAGGAGGCGGCCGGATTTGGAAGGAGATCGGCGGCGGCTTGCGGCTACAGTCGGCGGTTGGTGGCTGGAGGAGGAAGACGACCTGACAGGTGGGTCCCACCTGTCAGCGGCTGAGAGAGAGGAGGGAGGGCGCGGCGGACTGGGCCGAACGGGCCGAGCACGCGCAGGCCGGGGGAAGGGAGAGAGAGACTTGGGCCGACTTTCGGCCCAAAGCCAAAAGGGAGATTTTAAAACCTTTTTCTATTTAAATTATTCATGAAATGATATTCCATTGATTAAAAATACTTCCTTGGCTCAAATAAATTCCAGAAAAATCTAGGAACTATAGAAGCAAGAGAAGTATTTAACAAAATTTTATCTAGCCCACTTTTATATTGAGATTTAACAAATTAAAATTAGATCTTCTCTTTTAGGCTTTTAAGATCATTTCTAATAATTCCTTTTAAACAACAATTTATAATTTAAGGATTTTTAAACAAGAAAAGCACTTAACATAATTATAATTAGATCATTAATTGATTAACTAATTACTGAACTGTTCTTTGTATCATTTAGGAATTGAGCTCTGAAAAATCCGAGAAAATTTCAGAGGGTATAATTAATCATGGAGAATTTAATAAAAATTAAATCCAGCCATGCTTTATATTTAGGAAATTTTATTTCCCACATTTAACTTCACTTGTAAATTAATGAACATTTAATATAAATTCTAATAATAATTTATTAAATAATTTATAAATCCTGAAACGGAAATCAGGCTGTGACATCAGCTACCGGATAAGTCGGAAATGGTGGTCGAGATGGAAAAGACTATTTGCCATGGAAAAGACCCGTAGTGGTGGAAAAGACCCTTAGTCGAGGAGAAGATCCATGTTGGTGGAAAAGACTCTTGGCCATGAAGAAGGCGACTTGGACAATAAAGATGCCAAGAGAATATTCCCAGGGACCACTCAACCACTCCATCTAGCTGGCACCAAAAGACTATAATGACCCCCATAATGTACCAAAATGCCCTTAGGGTCTGTTGATATGCAGGGGCACGATTGTAATTTCATGTGGGCCCAACAAAGAGCACAATTGTAATCTCACATGTAAAGCTGTGTACTATATAGAGCAGACAAAAAGCCTGTAGCAGACAGGACATCTTGGAATACTAAAAATCTTGTCACTCAGGGTGTGATCATTTGGTATTCGGGCTCATTTCTCAGGATAGGCAGGAAAAGGGTGTTTTCCTGTCTATCCCCAATCTTGTCCGTGACCTTGTGTCACGACAAATTATTTTCAGGATTTTTCTTGAAATTATTTGAGCATTGTAATTATTTTTAACAATTCAAAGATCATTTCCATGATTAATTTAAATGGAAAAGTAAATAAAATTCCCTTTTCCTTTTCGGGCCAGTCTTCAGCCCATTCTTCCTCTTTGCCTGCTTACTGTCTCCTTCTTTCCCGAAGAAGTCTATTTCTTGTCCCTCGCCTCTTTTCTTTTAGCCCAGACAAAAGTCTGTTTCACCTTCCTATCGCTACAGTACTCCTTCTATCTCTGGACAGAACCCGAGCTCCTGTGCCCACTGCCCATGCAACTCGACGCCCCCGCTTCCTCTGTAGAATCCGTTGCATCCCGTGACTCGTTTCCCAAATTGGTTGAAGGGATTTCTTCCCTTATCCTCCTCTTTCTTTCCCCTCAAGAATCGGAGCAAATCCCATCGTATATCGCTTGGATTCGAAGCGGAGTTCATCTCCTATTTTCCCGGCGAACCTTAACCAATCCGCCGCCAAATCCTCACGGGTCCGAGCCTATTTCCTCCACCTTTGCCTATAAATAGCAGTATCAATACCTCCTCTTCCGTTTCTATCTTTTTCCAGAGCTTTTCCCTAACCTTAGCCGCCTGCCCGCGCTCGTCTCCTCGCTCCGCCGCCGGCCGCCGCTCCAGTCGGTCGTAGCCGTCGACTCCGACATCTCCGGTCAGCGCCGTCGCCTCCAATGGGACCAAAGCGAAGAGTGGAAGACCGGCCACCATCTGCCCGAAGCCGAAGACCCCGGGAAGCCCTTCGTCGCCGTTAAGGCCGAGTTCGCCGTCGCGTTTTGATCTTCGGCGAAGCCCCGCTGCTCCTCCCGTCGTCGCCCAGCTTCGTCGCCACCTCCGTTGGGTTCGAAAGGAGGAGCTGCACCCCGGCCACCCCTCCGTTGCCGCCGCTCGTTGTCGGAAAGCCGCCGTCGCCGCCGTCCCGATCTCATCGCCGCCTCTACCTCGCCGCCGGCCGTCTTCCGTTGTCGTTCGTCGTCGTGCCGCCCCTCGGTGAGCTCCCGTCGTCGTGCTCTTTCTTCCGGTATCCTCGATTTGCGCCGCCGAGCCCTAGATCGCCGGCGATCGTTGGAAGCCCCTGTCCGTGATGACATCATCGCTGACGTCAGCGCCCGTTTTCCTTTTCTAAGATAAATCGTAAATCCTTTTCTGTATATAAGGCTAAAATCAGATTAATCTTGTAAAATTCATAACTAAATCATATGAAGTCAGAATAAGGCTGTTTAAGTCTCTAAATTCATCTAAAATCATGATCTACATGTTTATTTAGTTTATATGTACTGTTTATTTGGAGTTTCTTAGTCTTTTTCCTCGTTTTGTGTATTAGCTCATCGTTTCCGTTGTTGCGAAGATTCGTGAGTGCGTCGGAAGTGTTCAAGAAGATTAATTGAAGACCGATTATTGCAAGGCAAGTCACATAGATCCCAAACACAACTCCTTTGAGCATGTTGATCCTATATTTAAATTCTCTATTTATTTCAACTGTGTATTTATTTTCGAATGTCACCGGTGGTGTGAACTTATACCTTTGCTACGGCCAATTTGCATTGATTACCTTATTCCTTGATACCTTGGGATACAATTTGACTAGTTGGCCTCATATAATGGTTCAATTAGATATATTAGTATAGTTACTTAGATATGCTTAGAAACATTAGTGTGGCTGTGTTTGCAACCCCATGTTCCCAGCCCCTCTCCATCGTTTTCCGTTTTCCGAGCGCACGTTTTTCAAACTACTAAACAATGTGTTTTTTGCAAAAAGTTTCTATACGAAAGTTGCTTAAAAAAATCAAATTAATCCATTTTTGAAAAAAAATAGCTAATACTTAATTAATCATACGCTAATGGATCGCTCCATTTTCCGTGCGGAGGCACTATGTTCCCAAGCTGAACATGCGAACACAGCCTAAAGCTTCACTATTACCTAAAGCTGGATATTTAAAGGTAGCTCACGATGATAAATCGTGTTATGATAATCAATTGATAATTAAAACTTGATAATGGTGGGTTGTGAGCGTATAGTTTTGATGGTCGTGCTCATGACAATTAAGGATCGGTTCGCGAGCTACTGTTGTGAAACATTAACCATGCCAACCACAAGCTAGCATGGGTAACGGCATTTCCTTTTGTATAGTATAATTCATTATGGGGCGCCAGACTGTGAAGTGGCGAGAAGTCCGTGGGGGTCGCTGGGGAGTCCATGCCTCTGGTAATTGAGGGGGTGATTATGATCCAGGAACGGTGCGTTGTGGTGGATTGTGTTATGCGAGGGGTACTGTCACAGCTCCTTTCCGAGGTATCGTGGTGGTATTGAGGCGCATGGCAACGTGTTGTGGGGCTGTCTTGTGGGTACAGTGATACATTGGCAACGTGTTGTGGGGCTGTCTTGTGGGTACAGTGATACATTGATACATCTCTGGCCAGAGTAAAACTATTCGAATAGCCTTGCCCGTAGTTATGGGCGGGTCTAACAATGTTTTCGTGATTAGTCTCACACTGATGCTATAACTGGTAATAATTTGCTTAGATCCTGGTTTGGAATGGTACATTCCTGGTTTGGAGTTAGATCTGTACAGCCGGGTATGGTTGTTAAGGATGGTTGGGCCTGTGCAGCATGGGTGTGCTGTACAGTGTTGATTAATATTGATGATTAATTACTCTACTGTTTTACTATTCTCAAATATTTGCTAAATGCTGCTTTTGCAAATAAGCCCTATATTATGCCATCCTTTGGTATCCTTGTGCACTTGCATATTTGCTGTGTGGCATGCGGAGTATTCCATGTACTCACCTTGCAATAATCAATCAAACCTCAATTGAGGAAGTTGCGAAGGAGAAGACGTTTGGCTTATACCCCAGTTGAGCTGCCTGTGGGAGTGGAGCTAAAGCCATCGCTAGACCGTTAATCCGCTGCTGTTTTCTTTTCTTTTGTAAGTATGTAATGTTATTATTACGATGGATTTGTATATTAAATTATCAGTTTGTGCACGTCAGCTGATTCCTATACGAGGATTTTATGCACAAATAAGTTTAGAAATTACTAGTGAATTTTCGGGCGTGACAGGAGCACACTCTTCGATCGATGGTGGGCTGAGTGGAAGAAGCATTTATTCCATCTATCAGCCTCAATGTTCTTCACGATAATCTTCTCGGACTCGATGCCTCAGGTACACTTTTCTTTTTGAAAAATTCTAACCTTGAGCAAATGTTTAATCGATACTTGATCTCTTTTCCTTGTTCGCAGACCACAGATTCCTCACTGCCTTACACTAGCCAAAGTGGGAAGCCGATTAACTATGCTGCAGGGATTATCCCAAATGGTGGTGGACTAGCTCCTTCAGTGATCGGCTATATGGCCCCCAAGACAACTAATTTACTATATGGGCAAACTCATGAACCGATTCCAGTTGAAACTTGTAAAAGGAAAAGCACTAAGCAATCGGATGTCAAGCCATCGGCTGCTAAACCTCCTGCCGCCTCGAAAAAGGTAGCAAAGAAGCAAAAGTTTGCTGCCGATGATCTACCTCCTTTGGATCGTGATGTAGAGGAGGTCCTGGAGAATGAAGAAATAGAGGAGGCCATTGATAATGCTGCTGCTGGCATGAGTGACACCAGGGCCTTATCCGCAAGCCCTACGGGTCGAGCTGGGACACCTCCAGCTGGTACACCAAGTCCCAACAAGACGCCAGATGCTCCAACACCGGCCCCTAAAAGTGGTGGTATGCATCTTTCTTCACATTATCATCCGATTAAGTGTGCATCATATGAATTTATTGCCATTTTTCCAGCAGACGAAGAAGCCAAGGGCTGCTAAGAAGAAGAAATCCACTCCGCCTCCATTGGTAACCTTAAACTTGTGTTCTTACTCCTATTAGTTGCCACAAAAACTTAATCTCCTCCCCTTTTTGCCTCAGCCTCCTCGATCTCCATCTCCTCGTCGGCTAGCATCTAGTGAGCACACCCCGTCGGCTGTGGACAGTCATCACTTGGGAACACCAGAACATCCACCTCTTGTTGTGCCTGTTAGTACTATTAAATCTTCTCATATCGGCTGCGATATTTTCTTTGCCAATAATCCCGATTTATCTTTTCTCCAGGTCTTGGCCAATATGTTTTCCTTTGACGTTAAACAGTTCCTAGATGAAGAAGAAGAGGAAACCACCAGTGGAGCCTTGGTCCCTCTTGATGATGATCTCAAGACCAAACTCATGGATATTGCTCAACGGCTAGGGAGTTCCTTGGATTCCTTGGTTACTGGCTGCGGGTCAATCAGGGCCAGGTTTGAAGAGATCCACCACCAGATCCCAGAAGATGAAGCCGACATCATTTCCCTGGCTGTATATCTAGAGCAACATCGTTTCAAGCTGGAAAGGGCACAACAAAGAATAGCAGACATGCGCGAGAGAGCTAAACTGGAAGCAACAATCGAAGCTAATCGGCTCTTCATTAATGAAAAAAAAGTCAAGCTTGATGAGATGATCGTCGGGCTAGGCTCTACTCAAGTGAACATAGATCGGCTAAAAACCAGGGAGGCCGAACTAGTAGCTGAGCTTGAAGCGTGCCGATTTCCCTAGGGCTATTGAAGAACAAACGTCTAAATTGAGGAAATCCGTCAAGCATCTCTCTGAATTGAGCAAGTCCTTGAAGGTGATTCCTAGTGTCACGCCCGGAAATTCACTAGTAATTTCCGAACTTATTTGTACAAAAAACCTTCGTCTAGGAATCAGCCGAGGTACACAAACTGACAATTTAATATACAAATCCATCATAATAATAACGTTACATACTTACAAAAGAAAAGAAAACAGTAGCGGAATTAATGGTCTAGCGATGGCTTCAGCTCCACTCCCACAGGCAGCTCAACTGGGGTATAAGCCAAACGTCTTCTCCTTCGCAACTTGTCTTCAACTGAGGTTTGATTGATTATTGTAAAGTGAGTACATGGAATACTCCGCAAGCCACACAGCAAATATGCAAGTGCACAAGGATACCAAATGATGGCATAATATAGGGCTCATTTGCAAAAGCAGCATTTAGCAAACATTTAGGGGTATTAAAACAGAAGAGTAATTAATCAATAACTTTTAATCAACACTGAACAGCACACCCATGCTGCTCAGGCCCAACCATCCTGAACAACCATACCTGGCTATACAGATCTATCTCCAAACCAGGAATGTACCATTCCAAACCAGGAGCTAATCAAATTATTACCAGTTATAGCATCATTTATTATAGTGAGAAGTGTGAGACTAATCACGAAAGACATTGTTAGACCCGCCCATAACCGCGGGCACGGCTATTCGAATAGTTTTACTCTGGCCAGAGGTATACCACTGTACCCACAAGACACAGCCCCACAACATGTCACCATGCGCCTCAATACCACCATGGTACCTCGGAAAGGAGCTGTGACAGTACCCTTCGCACAACACAATCCACCACAGCGCACCATTCCTGGATCATAATCACCCCCTTATAAACAAGGCATGGACTTCCCAGCGACCCCCGTGGGCTTATCTCCGCCACTTCTCAGTCTGGTGCCCCGCAATGAACCATGCTATACAAAGGTAAAGTCGTTGCCCATGCTGGCTTGTGGTTGGTACGGTTAATGTTTCACAACCGAAATTCGTGAACCGGTCCTTAATTGTCATGAGCACGACCATCAAAACCATGTGCTCACAACCCACCATTATCAAGTTTTATTTGGCAGTTAATTAATTCACAATCACGATTGACCATCGTGAGCTAGCATTAAATATCCATCATTAAGTAATAGTGAAACATTAGTTATCCCAATTGTGTGCTAATGTTTCTAAGCATGGCTAAGCAATTATATCTAATATCTAGCTGAACAAATATATAAGTCCAACTAGTCAAATTATCACCCAAGGTATCAAAGAATAGAGTAAGCAATGCAGAGTGGTCATAAAAAAGGAATAGGTTCACACCACCCGGTGACATTCCAAAATAAATGCACAGTTGAAATAAATAGAGAATTTAAATATAGGATCAACATGCTCAAAGGAATTGTGTTTAGGATCTGTGTGACTTGCCTTGCAATAATCGGTCTTCAATTAATCTTCTTGGACACTTCCGACGCACTCGCGAACCTTTGAAACGACGGAAACGACAAGCTAACACGCAAAATGAGGAAAAAGACTAATAAAAACCAAATAAATAGTACATAAAAGTAAACAAACGTGTAGATCATAATTTTAGATGAATTATGAGACTTGGACGGCCTCATTCTGACTTCATATGAATTAGTTATGAATTTTACAAGATTTAATTCCAATTAAACCTATTAAACGGAGACTATTCCAAATTAATTAAATCATTTACAAATGATTTATAACGGAGATAAAAGATTAAAGCAACCTCCGAAAAAGATTGGATCATATTTGGTAGATGATATATATTAAAAAGAAATAATATGCCACTGAAAAGAGGAGAGGATTTATATTGATTTTGGACAGCTGAGATTAATCTTGACCGAGTCGACTAAGATCGGATGGCTTGGATTGATCTGGCAAGCGAGCCTCACGAGATACCGACTCAACGAGTCAACTCCACGTGACACGAGATCACCCAAATGATCAACCGAAACCGGCGAACAGAACCGGCGGCTCTGAACGGCTCTAAACTAAAGGACGACTCAACACAGACGAATGAACGAAGCACGGGGAACACCTCGTTCGAACGAACGAGCGAACGACTCAACAACGGCTGCGGCTAAACCGGTCGGCTAGACACGATTCACTGTAAAGCCCTAGTACGACAAACGATAGGCCGGTAGGAACCTAGGGTTGCACCTACGGCTACACAACTCGACTAAAAGCAGCGGCTAAGTTTAAGCGGCACACAGCTGCGACACGGCGGCACTAAGACAACTTGACTCGGCTAGGCGGCGGCTAGGCGGAAACACGCAGCTAGGGTTAGGGTGACGGCACAGCCGGTAGCGACCATGCACGGCTAGAGCAGCAGGGCTGCGAGCAAAAACGCAACCGGCACGGCTGCGGCTGTGGCAAAGCGGCAAACAGCGGCAGCGGTAGTGATGCATGATAGCAGCGCGGTGACGGACTGCGGCTGCGCTAAGTCTAGGCCTCTAGGGCAACAACGCGGCAAAGCGGCAAGCAGCTGCAGCTAAGCGGCTTAGCCGGCACACGCGCAGCAGCGGCATGGCAAGCAGCTGCGGGGCAACGCGGCAAGGCGCGACGCGGTAGCGACTAAGCAGCGGTGGCTAAGAGGCTCGGTAGAGCGACGGCAAACCGCAACCGCACGGCGTGCAGCAGCTACGACACAGCGACGACGACACACACGTGGCTTACATAAACATCTACCCTAGGAATCGGAGAGGAGGCCTCACCGGGAAACGGTAGCGAACGGAGAGGAAGAGGTGACGGCTACGGTCCGACGACAACACACGGAGACGATGACGACGCTAGAGCCAAACAAGATTAGATTAGATGGAATTAAGACCTTAGGGATAAACTACACCGGTGAACGACATAGGAGCGGCGGTTACTGGCGAACCACGGCACAATAATGCAAACGGAGGGCACCGGGAGGTAGAGAAGGCGACGGCGATTCTTACCAACACTTACACGATGACGGGCAGCGACGGAAGATGGCCAGCGATGAGCTCCGAAGGGCGGCGAGGTACTGATCAACGGTGGCGACGGCGTTTCAGCGACGGGAGACGACAACTGAGGGGTGGACGGGCTTCACCTTGCTCCTGCGAACCCAATGGAGTCGACGGCGACCGAAGGCGACGACGGACGACGACGAACAGTGCGGCTGGAGACACGGCGACGACGGCGGCGCTCGGGTTCACGACGACGGGCAACCTCCGGTGGGATTTGGCGCAAAAAAACCGGTGGCCGAGGTAGCTCTCACCCTTGCGAAGCCGAGGGAGGCGACGGCTCAAGGCGGCACTGACCAAAGGGGCGGCGCGGCTCGGCTGGAGATGGTGGCGGCGGTGGAGAGAGAAGACAAGCGTGGGGAGAGCGATTCCGGCGACCGCGGAGGACGGGACTTGAGGGGATAGGTAGAGGACGACGAGGGGGTCCTTTATATAGGCACGGGAGCTCGGGATCAAGCCCACATCGACGGGAAAAACTCGGGAAAGTTTAGGATCCTCGCCGGAAAAAGGAAAGATTGATCCGCGAAATTGGAAAGGATTTCCATAGAAACTTTTGGGGATTTCTTAGGGAAATTGTAGAGGAGATTGAGAGGATTCCATTCCCGCAACTAATTTGGAAAGAGGAGCAACGAGGAGGCCGGATTTGGAAGGAGGAGCGGCACGGCTGCACAGGCTCGGGACGGCTCGGCTCTGTCCAGGGGTTGAAGACAACACTGTAGCGAGAGGGAGGATAAACAGACTTCTATGCGGGCTGAGAGGAAGGGAGAGAATAGGAGGGAATGGGCTGAATAGGGCCCAAGACTAGGAAGAAGATTTTATTGCTTTTCCAAATATATTAACCAATGAGATGATCTCTCAATTGTTAAAAATACTTCCAATGCTCAAATAATTCCAAGAAAAATCTTGAATATACTTGAACACTCTAAGTATTTAACAATATTGAAACCAGACCATTTAATGATTAATTCATTAGTTAAATAATTACTGAAATGTTCTTTGTATTGTTAAAATTAGGAATTGAGCTCCGAAAAATCCGAGAAAATTTCAGAGAGTATAATTAATCATGGAGAATTTAATAAAAATTAAATTCAGCCATGATTTATATTTAGGAAATTTTATTTCCCACATTAACTTCACTTGTAAATTAATGAACATTTAATATAAATTCTATTAATAATATATTAAATAATTTATAAATCCTGAAACGAAAATTCAGGCTGTGACACCTAGTACCGATGCAGCCGACATGCGAGTTATAGACGAAATAGAACAAATTAGGCAGCGAGCTGTATCGGCCATTTATAGGCTCGTATCTGGGTGAATATTCTTGTAATAGGACGACTTGGGTGACATCATTTTGCTGAATTTCCTTTATATATTCGATTGTAATGATTTCCATATTCGTCTTAACTCAAAAAGCTTCGAAAACCCATACGTAAAATTTTTCAAAGATCTCAGTCCCATCTGTGTACATATGCCCCCTTAATTTTGCAGTGTTGAAAAAAATTGGCAAAATTACATTGGTCTAAGGGCAATATATTCATATATCGGCCATCTAAAGGCGATGTAAAAACATCAGTATCTTATATTGGCTTAAACCAACTGATCCATAGTCCTGAAATCTTCCAAGGGTGATAACACACATATCGGCCATCTAGAGGTGATGCTCCACACATCGGCTATCATGAGTCGGCACAAACCCGCCAATCATGCATTGACCCAAATACTTGGTAAATATTTCTTCAAGTATTTTCCGTTGAGTGCTCTTCCGTAAACTTCTCCTTCGAGACCTTGTAACATGTAAGCTCCTTTAGAAACAGACTTGTAGATCCAGAAAGGTCCTTCCTAATTCGATGACCACTTGCCAAATTTATTGTCGTGAGTTCCTATCGGCAAAATCAACTTCCAAACCAACTTGCCTTCTGTAAAAGAATTGGGCACAACTTTCTTCTTATAATGACGAGCAATTATCTCCTTATCCTTTGTTACTTTTTCCACAACACGCATCCTAGACTGAACCAACTCTTTTGACTCGTCCACCATGAGATTGTGATAATCATCGGCTGTTAACTCATCTTGGATAGCAATCCTTCTCG